TTGCGGCAAGCCGCCGAAATTTGACTGTTAACAAGGAGTATCTAAAGGCCCAATAAAACAAAATGTGTGGAGTCAAGAGCAGAAAGATCGCACTCTATGGTATCCGTTAAGCGTAGTTGAATTTCGTAGGTGCATTGAGGACAAATGCATTAAACAATCATATTTGCTAAAAAGCTATGCACATTCATAAAAAACATACGAAGCATAGTTTTGTGTTTCTGTCTAGTCTGGCGTTGGAATAAACCAAATGTTTAATATTTAAAGAGAAGAAAGTAAAAAATATGGTCTTAAACCACATGCATGCATTAGTATGCATCCGATCTTCGATGCTGCAACACAGTTTTGAAATAAGAATACTACGGTGGTTTCAAGAAAGCATAACATTTGATAAGCTTTTAGTGAAACTGACGTTTACTGATGCTTTGCTGCTCATTTCCACCATGCAAGAGTGAAAGCTCATATCTTATAAGTCCATATTCTTGCGCAAAGTTGTTGGTTGAGCTATCCTTAAATCAGCTTTCCGTTTGTTTTAAACGCTCACAGACACGCCACCTTAGGAGCAAGATGGCTGATCGTGAGTTGGACTGTTCATGATAGCTTCTAGTTTGACTTATAATGCGTGGTATCTCGAGGACGATTATACACTCGCTCCGTTGTTTCGTTACGCATTGCGTTTGATTTGTGCTCCTAATTGGTGGGGATCTCTAGTAATGGCAATCGCTCTGTCGTGAATTTTCGATTGCCATTTCCGTCTTGCTCTTTTGCCGTATTTCTAGTCAAATTGTTGGTGTTTTAAAGTTGGTATGCTTTTCGCAGAGTATCAATATGCAGGCATTGCGCAACCGGCACAGGCTCCAACGTATCCCCAGTTTGCGCAATATCCTGGCGCAGGTGGGGATCAGAGTGCACAATTTCTGCAAGGGTACGCTCTTGCACAAGGCAATCCTGCTGCCGTTTTTGGGGGACCATCGTTTGGTCAAACTCCTTATCCACAGGGAGCTGCCGCTGTGCCTGTTCCTCAGCTGGGAGCTCAGCTGAGTGCTAGTGGTCTCGGTGCTGGTTTTCCCTATGGTGACTATTCTCAATTCAATCCTTACGGTCAAAATGCCGGTGTTGGAATGCCAGCCTCTATAAATGGTATGTCTTTTGTACAAATCTGCACTTACTCATCTTAGACGTCCAGCAGTTTGGTCAGTTGCTTCCGAATGCTCTCAACCAGTCTGCTGCTCGAAATATTTACGAAGCTATTGCTCAAGAGCAGGGTTTGGCTGGTAAATCAAATGAGGGGTACATTAATATCTTAAGGATTCAATGCTGCAGCCTTTATGCAAGACACTACAAGCGCTATAGGTCGTCTTGGGGGTTTTTCTGGAAAGGGATTTGGTACGAAGTAAGTTTCTTTCGCGTTTAGGCTCAAGTATCGAATTTCCGTGTCCTGCTTCGTTTTCGACTTTTTTTCGATTTTTTTCGATTTCCTTCTCATGAATGTCGTTTTATTTTGGATGATCACATTTTCTGTCGGTATGAGCATTTATTACTTTTCGATTGTGGTAAATGCCATTGTTTGTCGACCTATCTGGCCCTAATATGTGAGTTCTTGCGTTTTATTAATAACTTTGTTCCAGAGCGGAAACAGTTTCTGTGCTGCCGACGCGTGGTTTTTTTTCGATTTTCATAATGCGATTGCATGTGATTTTTTGGATTTCAACATTTAATGTCTTTTCAGCCAAAGAGCTGGCATGAACAAATATGAGAATGGTGAGTAGGAGTAATCATTCCAAAAACGGTTTTATTCCAATATTTTAAGACCTGTGATTCATGTCATACCTGTTCTCAAACTATTTCCTCCCATTTTAGGTAGTCGACCCAGCAATTTACCCAGCGTTACTAATCGTAAGCCGGTCTCCTTCTATAATTTCCTCCTAGCTGATGGTCTGCGTGAGGATACTGTGTTTGTTAGCAAGCTTCCTCAAAATATCGATCACGAAGTTATGAAGTCTCATTTTGGTACGATTGGAAAAATTAAGGTATAACAATGTTTCAATGATTGTTTGCATCGTAGATGAATGCCAAGACAGGAATGCCCATGATATGGATATTTAAAGAACGCGGCATTCCCAAAGGTGATGCATTGGTCACTTTTGAGGATCCTCAGTGTGTGCAAAAGGCAATCAAATGGTTTTCGGGTAAGTTTTGGTTTGTGTTTTTTCGGTCCACTTAGATCAAGTTTCTCGTAGCTGTCCTTTGACAAGTTCTTAGTATATCTTCTGAGAAGTTGTCGCCTAGGTTTGTTACATTGATCCATTTGCTAGAACCTGATTTCTTTTGTTCTTGCTCGCTTACAGAAAATGAGTTTCTCGGGAAGAAAATAGAGGTTAAACAGGCTAAGAATAGCCAGAGACCTGTCATTATTCCAAGCGGAGGTGGGGGTCAGCAACACAACAATTCCGGCTCGGTACCTAGTCGGGTTGGCAGTTTGAATCAACTGCCTGCCGGTTCTCCTGGTAAGGCTATTTATTATGGTAATGATCGAAACTGTAGGTGTGACTGTATTTGCGAACGCGGACCGACAGGTCGATGTGTACGGGGCGCAATTCGACCCCAGGAATGATGGCCCCTTGCAGTCACGCGGTGGGAGTAGCAGACCTCCGGTAAATGCAGGAGGAATGCGTGCCATTGGTGGTCCGGGGATTAATAGAGTTGGTGATTGGTGCTGCCAGTCCTGCGGCCGGATTAACTTTGCCGGACGCGACCAGTGCAAGCCCTGTGGCGTAAGTACTGTGGCTCACATAAGTTTATGTATTTGTGATGTCTATCAAATCGTGGCCTTTTTTACAAGTTTTGCATTGTGTAGCAGAGTCGCTTGATCCATGTGCTTGCTCTGCGCATGTCTGCTATTCTCGTGTTATGGTTGCCTATTGATCCACTTTACATTTGAGGGTATTGGGAGCCGACTTTCGTTCGATGCAGTCTTGGCGCCTCATTTGTTTGAACGGTGAGTTAGAGATTTCATTTATTGCAGGCACCACGTCCGGACGACGGCATGATGATGTCGAGGCCTCCACAACGTGGTTCCTTGTACCCACCGCACCAGATTCCGGGAGTGCCGACGGCTAACGGAGGGCCAATGATGGCTCCCGGTGGTCCACCACCACCACCACTGCCACATCGAGGCGGTCCAATGATGCCACCACCACCGGGAGTTCGAAGTGGAACGGTCCCTCCAATGAACGGAGGTCGGGGTGGCAGTACTGGACTGTCGCTGCGTGGCGGGAGAGGTGGAGGTCCCATGCGCGGCAGCTCTATTAGCGCTGGTCGTAGCATGCGTACGACTCCATACTGAGACTAAAACGCATTTAGTACGCTCTCCAAGTTGCAAGGCGGTTTCTTTTGCCCCTTTCCAGCCCTGTTGTCCGTAATCGTCCTCCCGCTTTTATTACAGCCCGTCTGTGAACCTTTTTACGCAATAACTGTCTTCATACACATATAATTAGGCGCTTTTCTCTAGTCATCTACACGATAAAGTGGTGAGATCTCTGAGGTTCTGTCGCGAACTTAGTGCAGGATATGTCGAGACTCGACCGCTAGCGCTCCTGCCAGCTCGCCTGCTTGCGCGTACTGAAGCTACGCTTCAACGCGGGGAGGAACGCCATGGTCTGAGTGCATGTGTAACAAGTCAACCCGCGCATTTGGACCAGGAGAATTAGCACGCGCGCCGCTTTCCCTCAAAGCTATTAAACGTATGAACATGACTTCATCTTATTTGAGAGAAATAGTCTGTGCCAAGCTTTTGTTC